GGTGTAGAGCTGGTCCAGTGTTCCACGACCAGGACCAAAACCACACTGCTCTTCCTGAATCCGAGGTTCGACTATCTATACTATAAACAGTACCTGGTTTAAGGACCATGGTGTCCCTGTTCTGAATTGACCAGCAAACTGTCCTGACCCTCCTGATAGAAAACCTATGGAAATGAGTTCCCCTATTAGTGCTTTAGGGGAACTGTGCTCACCACTGATCCTAGTTGTACATCATAAAAACATCAGACATTAAAATCAGCTCATTATTACCTATAATCCAAACTGTGATAAAACATATTTGTCCAGACTTACCACCAAGCCAAAGGAAGTCATTCACGGCCCTGAGCAGCTCCACAGCCATGTGATAGTGGACCAGAGCATCCTGCAGCATGCCGGCCTGCAGACACAGGTCTCCCACATGTTTCCTCATCCGTCCCTGGCAGCGTTTCTTGTAATGCCTTGAAGGGGAGCAGCAGGGAGGACGAGCAACAACAACAAGATTAGAAGGTAAAACAGCACACACCACTTAACATGTTTGGCTCTAGAATACACTTTATTTATATTTTTTCTTCTTTAGGAACAATACTCTGACTTTTCATTAACTAAATTCCTGATGCACRCTCAGGCTGAGGACAGGGGGTCTCACCTATGGGGGGGAAAATAGGTTGGGAGAGGAGAAACAAAACAGGGTATGAGGCGTTCTGAGTCTCGAGTCTAAAAAACAGGCAGTTTTAAAATAAAGGGAGTGTTTTTGACTAAAGCCAATATCTCACAAGGCTGACAAAGTTTTGTGACTAGTTGGCTAACAGTATTTACAGGGTAGTCTCCAAAATACTGTATTTCAAAACATTTACGGGGTTCTCAATTTCCTTGTGTGATTGGCAGACTACAACAAAATWAATCTGTAAATTGTCTCACAATTTTGAGTTGCCAACAAGTCACCAACAATTGTAGCTTAGTGAGATACCACCGCATACTGGTTCACCAAGTCTGGACCCCACTGTGAGTCACTGAACACCAGTTAGGAGCAGTCTTTGGATAACCTCCAGGAATCAAATTATAATTTATCTAAATTAGTTACCATTATTTTATCAAACCAATATAAGAAACAAACACTTAAATATTTAAAAATTTTAAAATTTAAGCACATTTTAACTGTTCAACTTGTGAGCTATGTTTGTACTTCAACCAGTGATAAATTCACAAATCTCTGCAACTGTGTTCATGTTTGTTTGACATTATAACACTTGAAAGCTTCTGGTCTAAAARATCTGCAATAACTCAGAAAAAATGTTTTAATTCCCCGTCTGTAGCAGACACAGGGATAGAAGAAAATATGACAGCTTTGAAACTTAGACTGACTAAACTTAAAACAAGAATAAAAGTTTTTTAAATATTTGAATAAAGTTATTTTACATCAAGGCAAACTAAAGCATACATCCATGTCATGCTTTTTGAAACATCAAGCTGCAAAATTGCTTATCTGTCATGACCTTTAAAAAAATTATACTTTTTTTTTCTTAATGGGGCGGCTGTGGCAGAGTGGTTATGGCAGTAAAAAATACAAAACATACAAATACACTAAGGATGCACCGATATGAAAATTTTAGCCAATATTGTTATCTGATATAATTATTGGTGTTACGGCCAATAAAATATATTTACCGATATTACACAAACACACAAATCATATACGTATGCACACAAACACACACACAAACAAAAAGCTAAAAAAAATGGAAAATCAATATCAGACGYTAATATCGGCCCCATTTTACATACTTTGGTAAGGTGTTGACATTTAYCCAGTCATACATGTTCAAACACTTGTAATGTAATGTAAGTTTTTTTTTAAAACAGGGTACCACTTTAYAATAAAACTCCCCTTATAGATGACTTTTAAAGAGATAGATTACTAATTAATCTGTAAACACTTTATAAATTATTAATAAGTGTTTATTATGCATTAATTAGGGACAATAAAAGAAACTAAACCGTCTGGTTTCTTTCCAATAACTGAGCCAAATCTGTTTGTGTATTAAACATTTCAGATTAGTTTACTACCTTGTAAGCATAATAATGATTAGGAAACACATATTTTAACATAAAATTGTACTGTATTACTGCATTATAAATATTCACAAATATTAAAGGGATCTTGTTGTAAAGTGTAAAACTGTGCACTATTTTAGAT